GGAATTTAGCCGAGCATGGCTAAATTATACATAGCAAATATGAATAAAGGATTACAAATCATCAGAAGAGTACAAGAATTAACCAAGCGATTCTCCCAAATCTCCCTGGCTTCCTCCTTGCTTCCAAAGACGACTTGAGCCTCTTGATTTCTCTCTTTCTTGTCTACAAAGAACTCTAAAAATCTCTCGGTCTTGTCTTCTAAGGGTTGAGGAAGGAGGGATTTTATAGTGGGTACAAAGTTGAGATGAAATAGGAATCTTGTACCAAATTGGACTCAAATTCTAATTCCTATATTTAAATAAAGAAATTGCCGTCTTTAATGATATTTAGAATTTGGAAGATTCCTTGAATTGCTAACTTTTAATATGGAGATATGAGCCTTGAAATCCGTGCAATTGATATTAGGAAAAGAAATCTCGCGCTTGTATTAAATTTTGCCCAGCTGCGCCACTTTAGGCGTCTGTTTTTATCCCAGAAATAGACGCCTATTCTCTAGACGCGTCGAGAATTTTCTCCACGTGTCGAGACTTCCTGTGCGCGAATTAGTTAGCTATTGGAAAATTTCGACGCGTCGAGCCAAGGGCTCGACGCGTCGAGTCCACTGGGCCCCGAACTCGTCCAAAATTGCTCAAAACTCATCCTTGAACTTCCCTTGCTCATATCTTTGACCTAAAATGGTTCAAAAACACTAACAAACACCGTAAAACATTCAAAACAAGTGTGAACCATAATTAAATGATAATAGCAAGGAAAATATGTATTAAATAAGCAAAATTAAAGAACTTAAATACTGAGATGATTCAAAATAACTATAATAACAAGCAAAGATGTGATAACATCAGGTCTCAAGCAGATCCAATGGCTCCAATCCGTGTAGGAGCAACTCCCTCTTTGGGGTGACATGCTGGTGGCTTTGGAAATGGAGAAAGGATGCCATCTTCAACAACATGGAGCTTCCATTGATCCATAAAGTCTCCTGGATTTGGTCCCAACTGGAAGAAACAACCAGTGCTTTCTCTAGGATTAAAGATGCTAGATATGTAAAGAGCGCACCCTCTTGGAACCTGCTCCGTTGGATCAAACCACCGGAAGGTGAAGTCAAGATTAATGTGGATGACGCTGTAGATTTGAACTCGGGCAATGCTGGATGTGGAGGCGTGCTCAGGGACTACACAGGAAGATGGCTAGGCGGTTTTACCTATAAAATTGGCTCTTGTTTGCCGGCAGTAGCAGAGGCATGGGTTGTGTTAATAGGAGTCCAGCTTACAGCGGCCAAGGGTATGGCCAAGGTCTGTATTGAGTGTGATTCAAAAGATATTATGGAAGGTCTTGAAGGGCGCATGGTGCTCGATGTAGTGGCTCAGAATGTTATAGATGCATGTAGAAAGGAGCTATGTGGAATCGAGGCATGGCGGTCATCACTAGTAATGCGAGAGCAAAACCAAGTTGCTGACGCCATAGCTGCACTAGCCAAAAAATGGCAAAAAGGATTACAGTTGCATGAGTATCCACCGATCGAAATCTTAAACATTCTGCAAGATAATTGTGATGGTACGGTGTACCGGCAGGGACGGAGTCAGAAATTCGATTGAGGGGCGAAGAAGTAGGTCAGATTCAGAAATTTTTCTAGTAAAAGCCAAACATCAGATTCAGAATTTTTTCCAGTAAAAGCGAAACATTAAAACAAAAGAGATGATTTTAAAAAAATAAATAAATTACCATTTGGATAGAAAACACATTATAAATTACACATATTAAATATTAAAAAAGTGACTGTGTTGAAACCATAGGGAAAATAAATAAATAACCATTTGGATAGAAAATACATTATAAATTACACATATTAAATATTAAAAAAGTGACTGGGTTGAAACCATAGGGGAACAACTCAAAAACATGTAAAACTATGTTAATGCAAAGATTTAAACCCAAGACATTTCCTATTATTAAACATATGCTTTACCAACTAAACTAACTCATTACTTGTTGACATTTACTAGTTTTTTATACTAATACTAAAACCTATACTATATATATATATATATATATATATATATATATATATATATATATATATATATATATATATATATATATATATATATATATAGGTATGTATTCAAATGAGGACTGGGGTATTATAGAGGATTGTGAGGACGATTTCGGTGCGTTGGATCGGCTTGATGGGTGGTGTAGATTAAGTGAGTTTTTTAAAATTAATTGGGTTTTTTGGATGGGGTGCGGTTGTTTTTTTAAGTTGTAAGGGTAGTTAAGTAATTGTTTTTTTTTTTTTTTTTTAATTTTCCCTTTTTATTCGATGGGTGGTGGTGTCGTGATCGGGTTGTCTCTCTCTCAAGATTCCGTGGTCCCTAGTGCTGCCCCCATTCCAACAGTGGTTCCCTCTCCTGCGTGCAGTTGATTATAACCGTGATGGCCGGCGTTGGTGGTCGTGGACGGGCGAAGCGGACGGCGGCGAGTGGTGGCTCTCGGCGGTCGAAGCGTACGGCGCGGTCTCCGGCGGTGGCTAGACCTGGTTAAATTAGTTTATTAAGCTCTAGGGTTTTTTTTTTCCCCATCTTCTCCGTCTGGTGTTTTTTTCTTGCATTTGTGCGTGGTTTTCCGGTTTGTGGTGGTGGGTCTCCGGCCGCGAGTAGCCGTGTTTCATTTATTAAACCCTAGGGTTTTTTTTTTCCCCTTCTCGCGTGGTGTGTGGTTTTCCGTTTTTTTTTTGGTTGCAATTGTGCGTGGGTTTGCAGTTTGTGGGGGTGGGTCGGTTTGCATTAGGCCGGTACCTGTAGGAATTTTGGTGTGCATGAATGTGTACTGTGTTTTTCGCAGTTTAGGTTAGGTTGGTTCTGTTTGCTCACCGTGATCCTCTTGGTGGTGATTTTGCAGCAGCAAAACTGTTGTGAAACAACTTCAACTTCTCTATTAGTGGTTATGTGCCTCTTGCGGGGTTTTTGTGTTTCCTATACCATTTTAACAATATCCAGAACAAATCTCTTTGTTTTGCACCCAACCAATGTTTATAATATTTCAATTTTTTATTCTTAAATCTCTATGCTTAATTAAAACAGATTAGTTTGGGATAGCATTACTAAGAATTTAGAATTGATGAAAGGATATGCAACGTGAAAATCTGAATCATAAGAGAGAATATAAATGAGTTTTTACTTAGAGATATGTAGTAAAATTTATGCTTGCAAGGGGTGTTTTCTTCAATTACCATAAAAAAGTTACTGTATCTATTTTTAGATGCTCTAAGGACATCCACAATGTTGTGGGGATATTTGTACACATCATTACTCAATATCCATCTATCTCCAGTAATATAGTTATATTTATATTATATATAATAAAATCAAATTAAATAAATAATAAAAAATATATATAAATGTACGAAGTGGCAAACAGTGACACACTTTGATGTGCTCAACAGGTGCCGTTCGTTATTCATTTGGAATACAGCTTTTTTTTGGGTAGTTTTTTGATTATGTCTTTTAAACTATTTTGCAGTTGATTCTCCTGGTTGCTTTATCTTTGTATATTATAATTATTCAAAGTGTTATAAGTAAGAATTGATTGTATACTAGTTACATAATATTTTAGACTGGTGTGTTTGTGGGTTTCGGTTGGCTTTTTTGTGTGCAGTGGTTTGTGATTCTGTGTTCCCTTGTGCATTTTGGTGTGTGCTCTGGGGGTGTGTGGTGTGTCGTTCGCTTTGCATTTTGTTTTTTATTAACTTTGTCTATCTGTGTTGATGGGTGGCAGCTAAGAAGGCAAATGATGGACCTCTGCAGGCTTGTTCATCTGGGGGGTTTATTGATGATGATGATTTTGTTGACCCTCCGCCGGTTCCTGTGATTCCCGTGCTTCAAGAGCCTATTGTTGATGCCCCGGAGGGGGATTCCGCGGATCGTGTGCAGCCAGAGGTTGTCGTTGATGCCCCAGAGGCTGTTGGTGATGGCCCGGAGGCTGATGTTGTGGATCCCGTGGACCACGAGCCTGTCGTTGCTGCTCTGCGGTCTGAATGCACTCCGGAGGAGAGTTTGCGGTTTCCAAGTGCCAAAATTAGGGTCCCTCCAGTCCAGTTAGTTGAGGCGTTGGCGGATCTTACCTCTCTACAGAAGAAAGATATTCGTGATATCGGGTTTGGTTCGTTGCTGGAGCTCAAGATTAAGGAGATGCCTCTTCGGTTGGGCCAATGGTTACTCTTAAATTTTGACCCCCAAGCTCGGTCTATTCGATTAGGTGAGGGTGAGTTTCTAGAGGTCCGGGAGGAGGATGTTGCAGCTGTCATGGGGTTCCCACGTGGGGAAGTGGTGGTTACACGCCGTGCTCGGCATGTGAAGAGTAAGTTATTGACTGCGTGGCGTGGGACGTTTGAAAATGATCGTTATGATGTTAAACCAATGGAGGTAGCCCAGTGGATTCGGGACGATCTTGAGGGTGGGGACTGGTTTAAGCGGCATTTTATGGTGTTGGTCATTAGCTCCCTCATATCTTGCATGAATAATGGGTATTGTAACCAGATGGTATTTCACCACTTGGATGATGTTTCTGCGATTGGTAGTTTGAATTGGTGTCGGTTTGTTATTGAGGAGCTTCTTTCTACGCATGCATTATGGTGTGTAGCTAACAACGACCACCGGTTTACTGGCCCCATTCTTTTTTTTTTTTTTTTTTTTTTTTTTTTGTTATACTGTGTGGTGTTTTCCTAGGGTAATGCATAGTAGGGTGTTGAATACAGGATTTTTGAACAGAAATCTTAGGATGGAGTCACTAGGTGTGTTGGGGTTTATTGGCTTGGAGTATAGGGGCGGGGGTAGTGGATGTATTTATTTCTTTAGCAATGTGTGTAATTATTATCGGATAATGCGTAATATATTATTGAATAAAACTGCATGTTCTTACAGGAATCTAAGCTAATAGTAATATGCCCTACCAGGAAATATTTTGTGCATTAGTTAATAAGATGTGTGCCCACTTTTCTGTAGTTTCAAATCGTTGGACCTCCGTTCTTTTTTGTGTTTGTTTTTTTTTTTTTCGTTGGTGGCTTTAGCGGGCAGTTTCGGCTGTCATGGCGCGCTTCTTCGTCACAGTAATGGCATGTGCGTCCATCTTTTCTTTTCTTTGCTTGTGCTTTCTCCCGTGTGGTCTTTAATCGCTTTCCACTCCCTTTGTTCTTTGATACTTGTGGAGGTTTCACTTGTACAACTGTTGTTGCCTGTGTGCCATAAAATGTCTCCAGTAATTCGTTTTTGTTATTTGTATCATGTCTCTTCTCTTTGGTCTTCAATAATTTACTTTTGTGCTCTAGTATCCAGTCCAACATCTCCTGCATTTCAGATGTGTTTGCCTGTGATAATGCTATGCAAGAGTAAAACTCACTCCATAGTTTAGCTGTTAGTCTATTCTCTTCTATTTCTGTATTGTCTGGTCCTCCTTGGTGAATGTTGCCGTTGGCCCGGTTGTGTGCACATGCATTTCGTGTCCACCTTGGTATTATATATTTTGCTGGTATCACTTCTGCATCATCATCCTTCAATACTGCAAACGCATGTTTGCATAATATTCCCACCCTAGTGAATTTCCCACAGGAACATCTCACTGTCTCATTCTCTTTATAATATTGTACTGTGAAGCTCTTCTTTTTGCCCTCTTGGATTGTATATAGTACATGATCACTTGCTTGTTCCTTGCTTGATATTTTGCATGAGAAACTTCCGTCTAATATCACTGTTTGGATGTCATAGAAAATTGTATTGGTGTATAGGGAAGATGCATGTTTCTCAATTTGTAGCGGTGTCTTCATGGGTGGGTAAGATGATTTGCACTTTGCGACTAATCTTGCTTGGTTGTGCCGTTGCATCTCGATTGCGCTTTCGAACTGGGTGAAGAATTCTAACAATGTTCCATGTGTGTTGATGCAGTCCCCAAATAGTCCATTTTCTGACTCTGATCTGGATGTAGTTCGCATTAGCCCTCCCATGAACACGTCGTTGTAGTACGCCTCTATCCAACTTGATCTGATCTCGTACATTTGTTTAAACCACTTGTGGTCTTTAAGGCTGTACTCTGTCATTAATGTGTTCCACTGTATTTCGTACTCCTCACGTCCCAAGGTTTTGTCCCAGACAATTGCATTTAATTCCTTTCTGAACTTTTCGTCTTTTGCTAATTTCCCACCAACCTTCTCCCCCACTTTGGTCATTATATGCCACATGCAGAATCGGTGCCTGGTTTCTGGAAATACTTGAGGCATTGCTTCCTTCATTGCTGGGTTTTGGTCCGTTATAATACATGTTGGTGTGTGCCCCATACATCGTTTAAATGCATCTAGGAGCCACACGTAAGATGCGATGTCTTCCTTTGCTATAAGGCCTGCCGCAAAAGTTACGCACTTCTTGTGGTTGACTATCGCGGTGAATGGCACAAATACCAGTTTGTACCTGCACATATTTGTGAGTGTTAGGCCGCTGTGTTGATTTTCCAGTCGTTCAACTTTTATTATAGGCGGTATTTGCTACATTCTGCCTTGCACAGTAGGGGCACAAGACGTAGTGAATACTGGCACAATATATAGTTTGAGGTGCACACAGGTTTCAGGTTTCGTACTCTCTTTAAACTGGTGTATATTATTTGAATAATTTATAACTAACCTGTTGGTTCGGTACATTGCATCGATTGACACCATATCTCCGAAGGAGTTGTATTGTGTTTTAGCCGTTTGGTCTGCCTAGAACACCCTGCGTAGCTGGTTTTCCTCGTCGACATCGTACTCAAATGTGAAACTTGGATACAACGCTTGCTTCTTTGCGTACTTGTCTATCACTGCTTGTGCATCTGCTTCATCAAGCTTTGCATTTACATCTCGCTTGCAATTTCTGAACTCTACGCATGTAGGCCCCATATTTGCACCTCCCCCCATCTCATTGAATATCTTGAATGCTGTTGTTGCTCCTATGTTTATTTTTCCACAGTTTGCTATGAATACTTTATGTCCAATATCAAGCTTTCGATTTATCTTTAAGAATGGTCTTGCTATGGGTGAGCATAGGGAGTGGTTGTGTCGCTCTTCTAATACGGTAAGTTCGTAGTATCCCTCCTTCTGTAGCCGAATTCCACATTTTGCCCAACACCCCACTCGGTTAGACACACGTCGCCGTGTTTGCTTTTTGGCTTTGTTGTCATTATTTGTGTCTGTGCTCTCTTGAGTTGGTGTTGGTGGGTATCCTTCTCGTGAACATAGCAAATACTTCGATTCAATCTGTCCGTGTCTGTTCTTTTTTGCCGATGTGCATCTAACATCGAAACCTACCTCTTGTGCATACTTTTTGTAAAACTCAACAGCTTGCTCTACGTTCTCAAAATGTTGACCCCTGTAAGGCTTTAATGACTGCTCACATTCTGGGATGGTTTCTTCTGTTATTCCAAGATATATTCCGTGGTCGGGCTCAGTTCCCTCATCCGTTGGAATTTCTGCTGCATTTTAAAATGTCAGCAGGAGTATGCATTTATGTATGTTGGCAGACAGTGGAACACGGCATATAGGAAGCGTGCACATCTATAAAATCATCATGGCACACAATATACAGAAAGATGTGACTGCTCAGCATTCAACCAACCTAGGCTCTATTGCATTACACAGAACCCCACCCCCCTCTCCATTATTCGCTAAATCATATGATCATGGACACGTCTAACCATTGCCCTAGATCCAGGTAGTACTCTACGGTCACTATACCATAATAATATTTATTTTTGTGTAATTCGTGGTTCATATTTGTTTAGGCCTTACCGTCAATCATGTCGTCCTCATGCACTCTACGGTCTTCCTCATGAATTGGTTCCTCTGGGAATACATAGTCGTCGGCGTTCATGGATGGTCCCTTGCTACTTGTTTCACCGGCGTCCATGACTGCGCGTAGAACAATTCCTCCCTTCTCGCCCGTACTGCTGCTCTCGGCAATGAACGACGCGAGATTGTAATTAGTCTTTGATTCCCATCCGTGTTCGAATTCTTGCTCCAGTCATATTTTACGTGGATGGATCCTAATATAATTAAGCATGTTGTCAAATTTCTTCTTTGCCCTCTTTTAATTATTTTGGGCATTAATTATATTTGTTTATGGACAACATCTTAGCCATTCAATCTCTTGGATTGGATGGCACTGATTTGTCCTCATAGTCCTCTATATATTGTAGTCCTCATGTGAACTCAACCCTATATATATATATATATATATATATATATATATATATATACATATACACGCACAAAGATTATATATGGAGTGGGGGTAGGGTGAGGGGGTTAGCTGCCCCCTTTAGCTCCGTCCCTGTGTTACCGGCATGGCGCCTTATATCCATTAGTACATTGATCTTATTGGGTGTCCCCCTCCTTTGGATATAAAAATAAAAATAATAATAATAATAATAATAATAATAATAATAATAATAATAATGTTAATGATCTTGAGAGTTGTCCTTGCCGGAATCTTACTCACTAGTGGTTCCACAATAGATTTAATACCTCAAGAATCGTCAAGTTTCCCAATGATGATAGAATATTACCAGTGAGCTGAGCTGAGGTGGTCGTGCGATAGATTGAAAAACCGAATAAAGGAAAGCTTACCTAAAGATCTTTGAACATCACCATGGAAGTGATTGTTGGATAAATCAAGGACTGTGCAAAAATCATAATGGACCACTTGAACCCCCACCCCTTTCCACACTAAGCTTTTTGAAGCTTCAAAATTAAGCTTATAGCACCCCGTTATCATTTGCCCTTTGCATGGCTTGAGAGTTCTCCATTTTATTTTTTGGCAAAGGACCAATGAACTTATTGTGCGAGATCAGATATCAAATATATGCAGCTTCGGGAATGGAAGTGTAGTGTCAGAAGTGCATATTTCACCTTAAAATTAATTAGATTTCAACATAAGAACACACAAATTAGAAAGAGTATCTAACCAATGAGGGAATGAATCATGTAACCTATTGTTTTCCAAGATCTAAAAACTTAAGATTGTTGCAATTTGTCTAGCTTAATTGGGGGCAATGGCCCTCCCAATTGATTGTCATGCAAAGTGAAATACTCCAAGTTGTTTTTGTTTGTGTAAACTCCATGAATAAATCCTTGAAACTGTACTTATTTCAAGCTAAATAAATAGCCACAAGTTCCCTGCTGAAGTTGTTGTCTCATAGATCAATATAAATAGCAAGGAACTCAAACCACACAACCGTGTATCCCTCCCATAAATCAATCTACAATTTGTTATTTGATTTATGTCATTTTTAAGTGTTGGAGTTGGAGTTTTGGAAATATTAACTAAAATGATAAAGTGGTAATTAATTTTGAGGCGTAACTTTGATGGTGTTCACTTATGATTTGGTACGGTGCATTCTTGACTTTCAAACTTATTGTTTTCAATGTTTTTTTCCCAAGTTAAAACATTATATTGAACTAAAGAAATGTATACTATAACAGTACAACGTAACTTTTATATGCATCTTTACACATAAGAGTAATAAATTGTTCCATTTTTCAAGCAAATTGACAAGAATTACAAACCAAACACCATAGTACACTACAATCACACAACAATATGACAACAGTACAGTAGTTAAACACAACAAAAACTACAACCCCAAAATAAAAGAAACTATATTGCTGAATTATAATCCTTCTTTTGATTTACAAGAAAGTCTAAAACCACTATTAGTGTGCTTTGAGTGAAGCTCGTAGTCACTAACTGGTCCTTCTTGATTTTGTACTTCCACATTCAGTCTCCAAGTATTAACTTTACAAGCCATCGAAGTTTTCCATACTTAAATATGAGATGTCCTATAACAATACCAAAGGGTATGCCACAAAAGTATCCAACAACAACACTTTGCCAGCCAATCCCAAAATGCTGTGAATCTGCATTCGGCGCTTGCCCTTCACCTCTGATTTGGCATTGTAAAGTTAGGGGGAAACCACACAAAGCTGTGTTTCCCAAATAGGAATTGTTGCTAAATGTGTCAAATTGTGCGCCATGAGGTATAGGACCAGAAAGATAATTATATGACAAATTGAGTACAGCAAGAAATGTCAATGACTTTGCTAGTTGTCCGGGAATCTCACCCACTAGTTGGTTCGATGACAGATCTAAAACCTCAAGAAGGGTCAAATTACCCAGTGATGATGGAATATCACCTGTAAGCTGGTTATGTGATAGATTGAGAAACCGGATAAGATGAAGTCTTCCTAACGATTTTGGAATCTCACCGTGGAAGAAGTTATTGGATAAATCAAGGTTTGTGGAAATATTATATTGCAACACCTGGCGCTCTTCCCCTTTCCACACTAAGCTTATTGAACGGTCATAGTAATCCAATATTTCACTGTCATTCCCATGTTGCATGGCACCTAGGTTCTCCACATAATGTCTTGGCAAAGGACCAGTGAATTTATTGTGTGAGATATCTAATATATGCAACTTTGGAAATGGAAATGTAGTGTCGGAAGGATATATTTCACCAAAAAAATGATTAGATCTCAGCACAAGAGCACGCAAATCAGGAAGAGTATCTATCCAATGAGGGAATGAATCACTTAAATTGTTGTTTCCAAGATCCAAAACTTGAAGAGAGGTACAATTTACCAAGCCTGGGGGAAATATGCCTTCCAAATGATTGCCATTCAAATTGAAATACAACAAGTTGTTTCTCTTTGTGCATGCTCCTGGAATAGTTCCCTGAAATTGATTTCTAGCTAAATTTATAAACACAAGTTCCTTGCTAAAGTTCTCTAAACATAAAGGTAGCGGGCCATGTAAATTGTTATCTGATAGATCAAGAACTTTCAAGGAACTCAAACCGCACAACTTAAGGGTTGGTGGAGTTATCATGCCTCTAAGATGGTTTTTAGAAACATCTAAAGTTGTCAAAAATTTCATTTCTCCCAAGCATTGTGGAATAGCACCTCCCAAACTGTTGTTGGATAAAAACAATAATTCAAGAGAGTTTTGAAGATTGCATAAGGTTTTTGGAATATTTCCATGTAACATGTTGAAATCAAGATAAAGGTATCTTAGTAAGGTCAAATTTCCCAGACATCGAGGAATTACACCACTAAAAGAACTTTCAGATAAATCAAGCCCCTCAAGGGAGCGAAGAGTGCAAAGTGTTGTAGGAATATTCCCTTGCAATAGAGTGCCTAACACAGAAAATTCTTCAAGTAAGGTTAGATTTTCAATTGTGGGAGGGATTGAACCATAGAAATAGTTTTCACTTAGGTCAAGAAGTTTAAGCTTGGATAGCTTGATTAAACTTGTTGGAAATGGTCCATGGAATAGGTTCCACCCACAACTGAATGTTTGAAGCTTGGTCATGTTGGAGAATAGTTCTTCTGGAAATCGGCCTTCAGTGAAAATATTTTTATTTAAGGAGAGGGAAGTCAAGTGCTGAAGTTGGCTTATTTGGGAGGGAATAATACCAGTGAAATAGTTAACTCCAAGGTTCAACAACTCAAGCTTTGTTAATCTTCCAATCCCTGCTGGTATAAAACCTTCGAAAAGGTTCCAACTCAGATCCAAGAAAACTAGCTGGGAAAGCTTGGTGTGATTGGAAAGTAGTGATTCTAGGATTGGGCCTGTCAAATAATTGCCATTTAAGTAGAGGGAAGTGAGGTGGTTTAGGTGGCTTATTTGGATGGGTATAGTACCAACCAGATTGTTTTCTCCCAGGTTCAACAACTGTAGCTTTGTTAATCTTCCAATCTTTATTGGTATAGACTTTTCAAAAAGGTTCCAACTCAGATCCAAGAAAACAAGTTGGGTAAGATTAACAATAGCGTTTGGAATTGATCCAACAAAGCTGTTATAATGGAGGTTAAAATGTGTGAGGTTTGGAAAGGAATTGAAATCTAGGCTTTCAAGTGTACCTGAGAGGCCAAAATTATCCAACTCTATCTTGTAAACAGCTCCACCATAGTTGCAACCGATGCCAGTCCAATTCGTGCAAATGTTGTCAAGATTAGCGATTGACCATGAATGAAGAACATCGTCATCAGTATCGGATCCTAAGGTGTTCTTCCACTTGACAAGAGCTCTTCCCTCTCTTCTTTCTGATGTTGTAGTCTCTAAAGAAAGTGAAAAGAGAAGAAGAATATGAAAAACAAAGCATAGCAATATTTGAGAAATGGCCATCAAATCTAATCACTATGTTTAATTAATTTCTAGCTTTGTTGTTGTTTTTTTACATTGACGTCAATAATAATATAAGTGGCAGTGGCACTATTACTAGTCAATAATAGTCACGTCATTGCAGAAAAGTCTTCTCTAAATTCAAGTAGGGCAATTGGGAGCAATCATTATTACTATTACATGGACTACAGTTGTGTGGATCATAAATAAGAAGTACATTTTAAGTATATTATAAGTATATTATTTGTGTACGTAAAATATATTTTTTCAAAGTACATTATTTGAGTACTGAAAATACATTATTTTATATATACTATCAAATAATGTACATTCAATATATAAATAATGTATTTTTAGTATATTAAAAATGTCCCTAATATTCCTGGTTCACGCAATAATTTACCAGTTGGGAGTACGCCGTTGTCTCATATGTCAATATAATATCCATGTCACGAAGCTTCGTCCAAATTCATATCTTGGCCTAACCATTATTAAATCCCACCATGATGAAAGAGGCGAAAACATCCAAAAGCTAGCTATAAAAGTCAAATAATGGAAACAAAATTAATTAAGGCAAATATGAACAGAAGAAGTACGTACCGCGTGCAATGTCTGAATAAGGTGACTGTTGATGTTGTACCTATAAGAATGAGTCAACTACCATATTTACATTGTAAAATTAAAATCACAATCTTTAATTTACAAAAAAGTTCACAGCCAATATTTGAATGTGTGGGCATTCTAAGTGTGTGTTTGGTTCGCACATGAAAATTGGAATCGGAATGGGTATCAAATACTTGGTAATGGTAATAGGTTTTCGTGAAAATATTTTGCATGTTTAGTAGTTTGGTGGAATGGGAATGATAATCAATATTGCTCTTTGGTTATGTATGAGGAGGAATAATGGAATGAAGCCCTTATTTTATTAGGGAGATCATGCATATAATCAATTACGAATATTAGGATCATCAAGATTATCAAATAATCACAACCTAAACCCTAAGATAAGCTCTATCAAGACTCAATCACAGAATCACACATACGATTACCAAAGGAGACAATGAATAAGATATAGCAAGAAAAATAGGTTTTGTAAGACATGGGTTACCTCTTAACCTTAATTAATCATTCCTTAGCTATTAAGGTTCTTCTCTAAGATTTCCCCCCGATTGATCTCCTTAGGCTTGGTGGTGGGGAATCTCTTGGGGATGTTTTCGTGTAGTATAACTATGGGTGGTAAAAGGGTTCTAAATGCTTTCTAATCCCCTATTTATAGAGTCAGGAATCTTCATTAGAGTCTGAATAGTAAAGGGCCTACTTTCTTTATTCCTAACTAGTAGTTGCACCCGTGCGATGCACGGGTATATATATATATATATATATATATATATATATATATATATATATATATATATATATATATATATACTGTATTGAATATACAGTATAAAATATACGAATTGAAAATATAATAAATTTGAAATGTTAAACTTTGTAATTTTATTACACATTGTTAAAGACTTTTTGTACACAACATTTTTCGTCGTACTTAGATAGGTTACATTCTCGCAACTAATCAAAATTTTTAAACCCCTTGGGTTACTAACTCTTAAAACAACCATGTACATTTGGTCATGGTTAAAGACATGTTTTTTCATAAACAATCCACTTTTGAAAGTGTTTGTCCTTGGCTTTTGTTTATTGTCATTACATAAGATAGCATCAAAGGGAAACTGCTTTCGTTGGAATTTGAAAGGCAATCTTGGATCTGACGATGTTAGTGACATTCTTGGAGTGTGATCAATATTTCTCAACAACATAACAGATGAACCAACTTTCAAAGTCAATGCATGATTTGGTAAATATCCGAAGCATCGCAGACCATTTAAGAATTCTGTTGTGTGCAAATCCACTAACATATCTACATTTGAATCAGTTTTACAAATCGAATCACAACTCAAATAAGTCATACCTTAAGCCCGATTAATGCTATCAACCACATTCAATGTTGGAGCCAAAATAGCACTATTCTTAAAATAGGACATATCACCTATACTGCGTCAAAACAAAGATAATGTGCTATCAACAATTGTTGCAATAGGATCATCGTCACACTTGAGCAATAAGTGATCTGGAATTGTAATATCTGCTTCACCATCAGTTGAATTACCAACTACTATGTGACATCCCGCAAATCCAAACTCTAATCAAGGATTAATTAGAGAATTAATCCTAGTTTCCTTGTTAATGTATTCCTAAAAATCCTGAAATTCAATAGTCGAGGGACTAGAATTTGACTAGTCACTTAAAGTCAAAGGGTTGTACCTTGTGCTTTTTGGGTTGTGCCCTTGTTCCCTTATTCTTCCAACTTTAGTAAGGGTAGAGATGTCTTTCTACCTAAAGTTTGTGGTTCAAGCTAACCTAGCCACATCCCTTCATTTCATTCACCTACAATCTAAACACAAAATCTCTAACTTCTCTCTAGAAAGGTGTAGCTTCTTCTCCAAGCTAGAATTTTGGGCATCCTAAATCTTGCAAGTTGTCTTCCAAATTCCTACTTTCCTTATCTTGAGCATAGGGGAGGGTAAGATCATTGCTCTTTGGGTGTTTTTAACCTCCTTTTAGATGTTTTTTTCTAAAAATAGTATCTTTGTTGTCTTTTGGTTTGTTTATGAAGTTGGTGTGGAAGAAGAGCTTTCTGAGAGGCTTTCTAAGGGTGAGAAAGAGAAGTGTTAGGCTACAAAGGTAACCCATGCTTTACAAAACCTATTTTCTTACTTATATGATGATTTATTGGCTTCTACTTGTGATTCTTATGTTGAAATGTGAGATTTGATGCATTGTCTTGTGGTGATGCATGTTTAGAGCTTGTTCTTAGGGTTCTTGAATGCCATTTCTTGGCTATTTATTGGGTTCAAGTCATATTGTTGTTGTGTGTGAGATTTTGGACTTGAATTTGGCCTTGTTGTTGAAAATCCCCGAAGGGATTATTGTGTACAGGGTGTGGTACCCGCGGGCGGAATGGCGGGCAGAGGCCTACCCGCCGCCCCACCCGCGGGGAACAATGTCTCGTGGGTGATGTACCGCGGGTGGTTGTCCACCCGTGGCCCCACCCACGGGGAACACTTGTGATGTCGGGCGGGGATTTGTTCCTCGTGATTCGTTTGACTCGGTATTGATGTTTTGACCTCCTGATGTTGTTTTATTGGGCTATTTGTGAGTCTTCATGATGTTTCGTATGTCTAGAACGGTATGTTAGGAATCCATGTAGGATTTTGTGTCTTGAATCGTGCTAAGGGTCCAACCTTGTGATTTGTTGGACTATTGTGAGTCTTGAATGTTCTATGGAACTACTTTTGGATTACCCATTTGATAAGCATGCTAGTTTGATGTTGAAATACTAGTATGTGCGGTTTGTTCTTTCTTATTGGGATTGGCAACTTGTGTTGACCCTCGTTTGGTGTCGGATTGTGATCCTTCGTTGTTGAGTATGGTTTCATATCTTTGTTGTGATCCATTGATTGATTCCTATGATTTGAACGTATATAATCGTTGTACCCTTTGATTGATACTTATTAAGGTTATTGTGGAACCTTAGTCTTCTTGGTAATAATGATGACTTGTGTGATTATGATTGATATTGGTGGTTTGTTACTTGAGCTTTGCTCATGAGTTTGGCGGTTTTGTGATATGATATTTAATGGTACCCTCGTGTACTGAGAGTTCGACGAAAATGTTGGCGGATGTTGGTGGGGGGACGATGCTCCCCGGAGGCAAAAGGTTGGACTCAGAAGTACAGGGGTTACTCGGAGGTAATGGTTGGAACTGAAATAAGGCCAGGGGTAGCCATAAGGTTGGAACAGGGCATAAGGTTGAAACCTGGAACTATGATACTTGTGACATGTAGTTGTCACTGTGGCATTTAGTTGCCAATGTGTGAATGTGTATTCATTGATAATGAGCATGTCTTGATGTATTCTACTTTGTGATCAGTAGAATGCATCTTGAGTTGTATTGTCTTTCATGATTCTTGTTTTGTTAAATTCGTAAGGATGTTGATTTCCTTCCCTTTTGAGAGTGTGAATGAGTCCTTAAAGTTGACTTCTTTCTTAGCTTTTGAAATGATATATACTGTATTCCGTTTCGAAAATGGTTTTTACTTATACTTATCTATATATGCTATTTAACCCGTATTGATGGGTTACCAGCAATATTCGCTGACCAGGTGTCATCCCGACGTTATGTTTTCCTTGTTCTATAGGTTTTGGGTAGAAGCCCGAGAGCGCTAGACTTGGAGCATTAGTTAGCTTATTCACCTTGTCTAGACGTTGTGTTTGATGGCCTGTGAGCCTTTTGAGCGGCCTGTGTGCCTTAACTCTTTATGACTGGTTTTTACTGTTTAGTTTTTCCCGCCTGTGTATCTTTAGTATTGTAAGATGTGGCATAATACTCCCGATTAGACTTGCTTCCGCTTTGTGTTTAATGGATAATTAGATTGTTTATCTCTTGCATTTAAGTTTTAAAAATATGGTAAAATCGGGGGTGTTACAGTTGGTATCAAAGCCTAGGTTTGAGCCTAGGATGTTAGAGTCTAAACTTTAAGAAGTTAAGTATGGTTTGAGACCATAAGATGACCTTTAAGTATCTAAGCGTTAAGGACTTAGGACTTTTAGGACGCGTGGTGAGCTGTGTGTTGTTTACCATTTGTATGTTTGCTTTGTTGCTTCTGTTTCGTTTTAGTGTTCTTGTAGTTAACGCCAGGTAAGGGTGCATTGTTTGTTTGTGCCTACTGTCACCGTGTTGTTGTTGTAGAAGTATCGTTATGGCTTCGCCTCGTCATCGCGCCCGTACGCCCGAGACACCGACCAACGAGCAACTGGCCCAGAACTTGCAACATCTAACGCGAACGATGCAGACCTTGAGTGAAGCCCTTCTACACAACAACCATCCTACTCGTCCGCTGCAGCCTGCCGGGAATCGGGATGTGGCACGTCTAGTCTCGGGACATAGGCCACCAGTGTTCGTTGGAGAGGAGGATCCCGTGATACTCGAGGAGTGGATACGATCCCTCGATAAGATCTTTGCCATTGTGGATTGCCCTGAGGATCGTCGAGTGGAGCTGGCTTCTTTCTACTTCAGTCATGAGGCTGATCTCTGGTGGGTACACGAGGGTCCCGCGTGTCAAGAAGAGCCCGACTTCGACTGGTCAGCCCTGATGGACAGGATGAGGGAGAGGTTTTATCCATCACACATCCGAGCCGCCATGTACGAGGAGTTCTTACATCTTCAGCAAGGCTCGTCATCTGTGGTGGAATACCACAAGCGCTTCTTGGAGCTTGCACGTTTTGCTAGGATGCTGGTGCCTACCGAGCTAGCAAAGGTGGAGAAGTTCGTAGCGGGACTCAACTATGAAGCCTGGAAGGCGTTGACCGTGAGCAAGCCGAGAACCCTGAAGGAGGCTTATATGAGCGCGGTGGATCTTTATCGTGTGCAATAGCTGCAACGAGGGTCGTTTGAGTTCGCCAAGAGGAGGAATGAAGGAAGTGAGTCTCAAAGTTTCAAGAAGCCGAGACAAGACTCTCGAGCCAGACCCGCCCCCTCTCCGCCTCAAGGATCAACTCCGGTCGAAGGCGGAGCTAAAGAGAGGACTTTGGCATGCCGGAGATGTGGGAAGGACCATGTAGGGAAGGACTGCCAAGGGAACGCGCTTCGATGCTTCAAGTGAGGGGAAAGAGGCCACAAAGCTTTCGTGTGCCCTCTCCAAGATAATCAGAGAGCCTTACCATCCGGTGTGAGACCTAGTGGGCCCTCGGGAGGGAGTTCAGGTCGAGGTGTAGCTAGAGCGAAGCCTTTAGGCCGAGTGTTCATGATGGGTCGGTCTCAGGCCAAGTGTTCGTGATGGGCCGGTCTCAGGCCGAGTCTGAGGGTTTGGTGGAGGAAGATACGGCAGGTAACCTCTCTTAAAGTCTACCTTTACCTTGAGAGTGCGCCTTTCTTGTGTTTTCCTTATCTTTGCTATGTGATCCTCTTATGTCTTTCAAGTGAGTTTCCTTGTGATTTGATTTATAATTGTGCGTGGTTTAATATTAGTTTTAATCCTGAAGCCCAATTCAAACCTCATTCCTTTGGGTCATCCAAGCCTAATTTGTTAACTTTAAATTTAGAATTAGAATAGTCAACAAAAAAGATTTAATTCGTAACCATTAAAATTCAAACCCAAATATCCAAGTTTCCAACCCAAACTTTAAACCATCTAAACCAATTATATTACTTGAACCTTATCCCACTTAAATTCCTTTTAACCTATAATTTCCATCTTAACCAAAAATCCCTAAATTAAAACTCCTTTTCCCAAAATTTTCCCCAAATTCCCAAACCCTTCCTCTTCTTTTCCCCTCCACCCACAAGTTACCCGAAAAACCCCCCTGCCCGTCGCCGACCCCTTCCCGTCGCAGCCGGAGTACGCCACCACCACCGCCCATCGCCGTCACCGAACGTCCACCGCCGACGCCCAGCCGGAATCGAAGCCGAGAGAGAGGAAGAGAAAGAGAAAGAAGCAGAAGAAAGGGAAAAGAGAATTTTTGGGTCTACCTTGGATCTTTGAACATCCCAGAATCATGCTTATGAGGTCTAATTTGATGCGGAGAGTGGAATGGGTGGATGCCCACTACCTAGTGTTAGAAGGTAAAGCTTTTGATCACGACTCCTTTTCAAGTTCTTTGTTGGAAATGTTGAACTACCAAGGGTTGTTGGATGGGTTTCTCGCCATTAGGACCGGGACTTACCCAAGTTTGGTGAAAGAGTTCTACCGTCACATGAGTGTGACTAAAGATAGTGGAAGGTTGGAGGTAACTTCTAAGGTGAGAGGTGTGAAGGTTGTTTTGTCTGAGAAAAGATTGGCTCAGCTTTTGAGTTTAACAACTACGGGAGTCTCGCAGTACAGTGGTGACTCTTGGATTGAGACGGATAACATGAGTTATCGGAATTATCTGAGTTACCTTTTGGGAAGAGCTAGAGGTTTTACTCAAGCCATGTGTCGGAGAAAAAGTGGTTATCTGCTAAGCAAAAGATTTTGGTCATGCTTGTTTCTGACTGTTTGTTGCCCAATAATAATAAGAGTCGTTTGTTGGGTAAGTTGGAGTGCACGTTTGCTTTCTGTCTGAAGAATATGGTGAAGTTCAACTTGCCGGTGTTAATGTTGCAACACATGGTCTTTTATCGAGACCATAACCACTAGAGTTTGCCTTATGACATGGTTTTAAGTTGGATTTTTGCTAAGAAAGGAGTGAGTGCCGATGGTTGTGTGCCTTAGCCAGTGGGCAAGATGGTTTTGGATGCCACAAACCTCCATAGTTGCAACCTGTTCCAGCTGGATGATGGGGAGTACATCACTCTTGAAGAGGTAGCCAGAAAAGACTCTGCCGAGAGGAATACGTTGGTTGCAAAGCTTGAGATTCCTGTTGGAAAGCTGAACCTCGCGGTTCAAAGCTTGGGAGGAGATGATGGGAATGAAGGTGAAGAGGAACGGGAAGAGGAAGAAGGTGGAGCAGGAAGCGAAGAGGTCGAGGAGAGCGACTCCGAAAGTGAAGAAAACCTAAGGAGAAAGGAGGCAAAAACCAAAAGGGAGCACGACGCTATGACACACGAGGAGCGTGTGGTCACCCTTCTTCGTCAGCAGAACCAGATGATTGAGGAAGGTTTTGCTTTCATGAAGACTCAGTTCGTCGCTGTCAACCAGAGGTTGGATCAGTTGGAGGTCGGTTCTCGTCGTGGTGGAGCTGAGGAAGACTCGGACAAGGATGCCGAGGAATCGGAGAGTGAGTCCTTTTAGACCGGAGTTGGCGTAAGCTCGTTTCTTTTCTCATTTGTTGATGTCGTTTAGTAGTTGTTGTTTGTTGGTTGTGCTTGTGGCCCTTTCTTGTTTATCATGTTTAATAGTTTGTTGCTTGGATAGTTAGTTTAGTGCTTTGCCTAGGTAGGATTCAGTTGTTTGAGTTTAGACGTGGGATAGAAGGCCTAAGCCCGATTAATGCTATCAACCACATTCAATGTTGGAGCCAAAATAGCACTATTTTAAAAATAGGACATATCACCTATACCGCGTCAAAACAAAGGGAATGTGCTATCAACAACTGTCGCAATAGGATCATCGTTACACTTGAGCAATAAGTGATATGAAATTGTAATATCTACTTCACCATCAATTGAATTACCAACTACTCCATCACCTATATTAGCTATCCATTTTGCAAACTCATCAATCTCTTTAGCCTCAAGCTCTGATTGAACACTTCTTGGGCGAAAATTCTTAGTTAGCCTAAAGATGTTACAGGATCTCCAAAGATAAGAGGAGTTTATGCTTGCCCCAACAATATCTTGTCGTATGCCCTTTGGAACTACTGGGAGAATTTGCCTGAAATCGCCACAAAAAACAAATGGTTTGCCACCAAATGTCATATCATAACTCTTTGGATTTCTGAAGCGTAAACAAATCCCTCATTGTCCGGTCTAGAGCTTCAAAGAGAAGCTATGCCGCTAGACGCAACATTTAAAACAATTTCACCCTTAGACCTTAAAGCGGAAGAAAGTGTTCTCCACAAAAAGGTCTTACAGGTACCTCTATACCCATAAACAAAGAATAACCCCTCCCGATTTGCTTTGAATATCTCCTAACACCTCATAGTAGATGATCTTTTTCTCTTCTATTAGTTGACTAACCAATACTTCATTCTCTTCTTTCCGAGCATCACAATCATATGCCAATTCTTCTTGTATCAACTTATTTGATATTACAGTATAGCTCTCAAAATTTGCATTTGGCATATTTGTAATGATGTGTACCTATATTTTGCGACGTTTGACGGATTTGAAATTGAACATCCCCAGACAAATGTTGCCACACAGCATGCCAAACAGCTTCCCGTTTTCCTATACAGCTGGTCATTAAGAATGTGATAAATAATCTCCTCAACTTAGGTCCAGACGCCCATTGACTTTCTTCCTCTATTGCATCAACATATTCTTTGTCATCATCAACTAAACCTCTAGCATAACACGCATCTCGGAATGAAGCATAGTGCACCCCCATTAACAGTTCTTATATCTGAATAACTTGTAGGACCACATACTTTATTCAACAATTCCTTTATTACATATACATAATAAAATACATTAAATATATAATAATATAGCGAGATAATAACAAATAAATTTAGAATAATTTACAATAATTCATAGTATATGGATACATATAAAAAAATACAGTTGTATCTCAATTAGTGAAACATTTATCATTACTAATGATACTCATTCATGCCATATTTTGAGTAGAACACCCTTCAATTGTAAATCTTTATGAATTACTTGAACTACAATAGTTTGTGCCTTGAGCATCAGTATTTGTTGATGATGAATTCTCTACATTCTTTGAGATAGCAATATGAATATCAAAACTTGGTAAGTGACCGAATATTTAAATAAATATCACACCATTTAGAATGATAGTCTATATAAGCATGCTAAAACTAAGCATGAATTATAGATCTTTTTTAAATTTTGGAGCATATCTAACTACAAAAACTATAGAACTAAAATTTAAAAAAAAATTATATTTATTAAATAAACTATTAATATACATAAAATATATAATTGCACCATTATATAATAAAATTTTGCCAAATTATTATGTGGATCATAACAAAAAGTACATTTTTAATATACTAAATGTAAATTTTAATATACTTAAAATACATTATTTTTGTACTAAATATACATTATTTTATAACTTACGAAATATGGTCCACACAGCTTTTGTGAATCATGGTCCACACAATAATGATTGTAAAATTTTGCACTACAATAATCATGCCTATTAATATAATTAAACAATAAGGTCTATGTATATTATGTTTTCAATATATATATATATATATATATATATATATATATATATATATATACTAATACAATCTGTACTTAAGCATCCAAGCCCATTTGGGTGGCCCAATCTTCTGACCCAATCCAAATTTCATACCCAACCCAAATTCATGGAGTATTTAAGCTATTTTTGCATTCATCTGTGACCTTATCGCCGACGATTCGCATTCTTTCTCCTCTCTCTCGAACATTCTACCGTTCTCTGTCTCTTGGTCCGAATGTCTCAAATCAAACCTCTAATCTCAGCTCTACGACCATTTTTGGTTGTAGGAGGCTATAAATGTGTTTGTCGAGGTTTTATATGCTAGTAATTGTTCTCTACATCACTGTCTTAGCCTATAATCGCCAGTATGATAGGCTAAAAATTAAACCCTAGTTCGTGGGCGATGTTGGATTGGTCAGTCATGTTCGATTTCAGCTCATCATAAACATGAAGTATGACAATGTTCATGATATTGATTTCAAACCCTAATTCCAGAAAACCCTATGAGATAAGTGATTCTGGTCTATCTATTTCTACTTACTTTTTCGACTAATTATTTCGATTTTATTGCCTATTTTGTTTTGCATTTTTGTTCAAGATTAGATTTGTGTAAACTCCTATGTACTTACATTCGTGTTTTTGTATCAGAACAAACGTATAGAAAGTTTCCTTTTGTAAAATGAAAAAATTACTAACCATGTAATTTTTTTCTTTGGTTTTTCAGAGCAAGAAGATTGAGAGTTGGAGACTATAGTATTGGTAAAAGAAATCTAAGTACTGCAACTATATAGAATGCATCATAAAGTAAGCCTCCATTTATTTTGCAACCATCCAGTTTTGGATTAATCTTCTTTAAGGCAAATGATGAATGTAAAAAGTGTGATGTAGACCGGGTCCTTGCGTGGAGCGAGTCTCGCGGCACGGGCCGCGGCTCCTCCCGCAGACCCAGGGCCCGTAGCGGCCGGGGGATATAAAAACACCCCCCTGTGTCCTACTCAATCATCTTCTACCTTTCTTACAATACTTGTATCATTATTACACGTCCCGAACCTCTGTAATAGCATTTCACATCTATTTAATATAATATCATTTACGTACACACCCCTATTATCATTTTATTATTTCGTTTATCACATTCGACATATATGCGGGTTGTATAATCCGGACCCCCGGGTTCATATAATCCATCACTGGTGTTCTTGTTGAGAGCGGTTGTACAAGCTTAAGCGCTCTCCCTATTGTCCTTCATCCGCAGCGATGACAAGATCCGGGTCGAACACCCACAACTCGTAGGGTTCACGCAACACACGCGACCTCTCCCTCACCAACCACCCCAATGGGACCACGGCAAGTCGGCAGACCGTGCCCGTGGTGGCGGGAGGGGACCTCAGAGATCAGATCAACGGGAGTCGGCGGGGGACAGCGAAGTACCTTCGGGGTTCGCTCGCCAATAATCGCCCCCTCAGCGGGACGGCGCCACTCGCTCCACCACCGGTCCCAACTCCCCAAGAGGAGGCCGTCGCGCTCGAGCAGGCGGCGATCGCGCTCAACCGTGTCGCGGCGGGGCTGCGACGGGGTGCCCCGACACCTCCACCTCCGCCCCCGCCGAGGGCGCGTAGTGGCCCCAGCACTCACGCGCCCCGGGCGCCCGCAACGCTGGCCGATGGGGAAGTCAACTCACCGCGACCATCCGAGAGACGAGACGGTGCGGAGGCCAGCCGAGGCCGGCACGAGCAACGGGAAGAGAGGAGGACTCGGCCGACCCGCACCACATCCGCGCTCGGGCGGTTGGGCCCGCGTGTGCCGGCGCGAGACCGCCTAGGGCCGAGGCCGGCCACCAATGCCAGACAGGCGGAGTCTTCATGCTCACCGAGGTCACGGAGCCATGAACCTCGTGTTCCGGGGCCACGGGAGACGACCCCCCCAATAGAGACCAGAGGCGACCTCCAATCGCCTAGCGCAACGAGATGGAACAATTGTGCAGGCAGATGCGCGAGTTGCAGCGCAAGATGGAGGTACGCGACGAGTCACCGGAACCTCGGGACGCCCTGGCCACACCATTCACGAAAGACATCATGGTGGAGCCCCTGCCTCAGGACTTCCGATTCCCGGCAATCAAACCCTACACGGGAGCGACGGACCCACGGGATCATCTCAACAGGTACAAGGCAGTCATGATGATGACGGGCGTCAATGACGCAATCATGTGTCGCGGCTTCTGCACAACTCTAGATGGCCAGGCCCAAGACTGGTTTGGGTCCTTGCCCGGGGGGGGGGGGGGGGGGTCCATCCCCACTTTTGCCATCCTAGCTAATAAGTTTATGTCGCACTTCACGGGCAGCATACAACGAAGGAAGAAGTTCGCCGACCTGTGCTACCTGAAACAACACAAGTCGGAGACCTTGGCGGAGTACCTGAGTAAGTGGAAGAAGGAGGCCATGGGGGTGACCAATTTCGACGAAAGATCCGCCATCCCATTCTTCACCAACAACCTCAGGTCTGGTCCTTTCCACAGCGCGCTGAGAGGAAGAGCTGGGCGCGGAGCCTATACGTGGGGCGGGGGGGGGGGGGGGTCGTCCGAGCACCCCACGAAAAGAGTACACGCAGGGAGCCTATAACATTCATCGACGGCGACCTCCCGGATGGCCCCTTGCCCGACCGAGATGCATTGGTAATCAGGTTGGAGCTCAAAGACATCATTGTCCACCGGGTACTGGTCGATACGGGGAGCTCCGTGAACGTCATGTATTATGACACCTTCACGCAGCTAGGACTATCCAGGAAGCAGCTGTACCAGGTACGGACGCCGCTATCCGGCTTCACCGGAGACTCCATTGAGATAGAGGGCTCCATCACCCTCGAGGTGCAGATCGGCACCCCGCCGCACGTCAAGTTCCCTACCCCCACTGGAGTGGGTGTCGCGTGAGGAGACCAGAAAATAAGTCGGAGCTGCTACTTGAAGGTCTGCCGCCAAATAACAAAGAAGGACCTCCAGGTACACATAGTAATTGAGAAGGCGCTTCCAGAGGAGGAGAAGCGGCCCCACGCCGAACCCGTGGTGGAGACAGAAGAGGTCATCCTGGACCTCAGCCAACCCGACTGAATGGTGAAGGTGGGCACAGGCCTCCCGGCCGACCTCCGAGGTCGGATTGTTGAGGTCATCCGCAGCTACAAGGACGTGTTCGCCTGGGGTCCCGAGGACAAGCCTGGCCTCAGCCGGGAGGTCATCACGCAAAAACTAGCAGTGGACCCCAAAGCCAAGCCGGTCCAACAGCGGAAGCGCTACCTCGCCGCGGACAGACGAGAATTTGTGAAGAAGGAGGTCGACACCCTCCTTGAGATAGGGAACATAAGGGAGGTCCTATACCCGACATGACTTGCGAACGTAGTCCTCACACCTAAACCACCTACGTGGAGGATGTGTATGGACTACAAGGACCTCAAAAAGGCATGCCCCATGGACCCCTTCCCGCTCCCCAACATAGACCAACTGGTGGACAAGACGGCGGGATGCGCACTCATGAGCTTCCTAGACGCCTTCTGGGGGTACCTCCAAATTTTCATGCACGAGGATGACGAAGAGAAGACGGCGTTCACCACCCCCGAAGGGGTCTTTTGCTATCGGGTCATGGCATTCGGGCTCAAGAACTCGGGAGCCACGTACACAAGAATGGTGGCCAAAGTGTTCAAGAAGGTCCTCGGCCGGAACTTGCAAGCTTACGTCGACGACATGATTGTGAAAAGCACGGAGGCTGACCTCCACATAGCCGACTTGACCGAGATATTTTCCATTATGAGGCAATTTGATTTACGTTTGAACCCCAAAAAGTGGACTTTCGAGGTACACGGAGGGAAATTCTTGGGTACATGGTCTCAAAGAGGGGCATTGAGCCCAACCCCGAGAAAGTCAAGGCCATCCTAGAGATGGAACCCCCGAGGTCCCTCCGCGAGGTCCAGCGCCTCAATGGTCGGCTGGCGGCCCTCGATCGATTCCTCTCAAGGTCGGCCAAGAGGTCTTTGCCATTCTTCGGGGTCCTCAAGAAAAGCCAGGAGTTCGAGTGGTCGGATGAATGCTAGAGAGCCTTCGATGAACTCAAGGCGTACCTCATGTCATTACCCCCCCTAGGCAAACCGGAGAAAGGGGAGGTTTTGTATCTGTACTTGGGCATCTCACAAGCCGCGATCAGCTCCGTGCTGGTCCGGGATGACGCGGGGACCAAACGCCTGGTGTACTACGTGAGCAGAGGCCTCCGAGGCGCAGAGCTCAGGTGGACGCCACGGCCAAGAAGCTCGGCCATTACTTCCAGGCACACCCTGTGCGGGTCCTCACCAACCAACCCCTCGAGGCAGTATTAAGGACCTCGGGGTCGGCAAGCAGGTTGGTCAAGTGGTCCATGCGGCTGAGCCAATACGACGTCCAGTTCAAACCCCTACCCGCGATTAAGGGGCAGGCGCTCGCCGACTTCATAGTCGAGTGCACCGCCCGAGAGGCCACCGGAGCGATGAGGAAGATTGGTGGACCCTGTCCATGGATGGTTCGTCCAGCCCCAAGGGATGTAGCGGAGGGGTGGTCCTCGTAACCCCGGAGGGGTTCCGGGCCTACTACGCCATTCGCTTCCACTTCAAGCTGTCCAACAACGAGGCCGAGTACAGGCGCTGCTTGGCGGCCTCAGGCTCGGGTTGGGTCTGAGGGCCTCCAAGGTGAAGGTGCGGTGCAACTCTCGACTGGTTGTCAGACAGGTGACCGGCGAGTTCGAAGCCAATGAAGAGAGGATGAGGAGATACCGCGACATGGTACACCAAGTCCTAGGTCAATTGACCCTCTACGAAATTTTGCAAGTACCCCGAAGTCAAAACGGGTACGCGAACTTGCTCTCCAAGCTCGGCCTCGGCACCCCGGAGCATGACTCTAAGATAGCACGGATTGAAGACCTCTAAAGGTCCAGCCTGGAGGCCTACCCAGTCCTCCCCATACAAACTCGGCCCCCATGTTGGTTAGACCACCTGGTGGAGTACAAGAGAATAGGTACCCTGCCAGCAGACGAGGCAGCCGCCAAGGCAGTCAAGAGGAGGTCACCAACATACGTCCTCCTTGGTGACACTCTTTACAAAATGTCCTATAACGGAGCCCTCCTTCGGTGTTTATACCCAGACGAAGCTAAATCCGTCAAGGAAGAGATACATGAGGGCACCTGCGCAGCATACCAAGGAGCCTTCGCCATGGCAAGGAGGGCCCTATTGCAAACGTACTTTTGGCCAAAAATGGCCAAGGAGTGCGCAGAGTACGCCCGGGAGTGCCCGACCTTCCAGCACTTCCACGCAGAGCCGGGTCGGCCAACAACCAGCTACACGCCTATCAGCATGGTAATCCCGTTCTCACGGTGGGGAATCGACATCGTCGGGGCCCTACCCATGGGGTCCGCGAAGAGGAAGTACATAATAGTCGCCATAGACTATATTACAAAGTGGGTCGAGGCGGAGCCACTCGCCACCATCACAAGCACCTGATGCACGGAGTTCATACGAAGGAACATTTTATACCGCTTCGGGGTCCCCATACAAATCATCTCCGATAATGGGCGGCATTTTGAGAGCAAAGAATTTAAGGAGTTCTATGACCAATGGTACATAAAACACACCCGCGTGGCGGTGGCATACCCGCAGGCAAACGGACAGGTGGAGAACGCCAGTAGAACTATAGTGGACGGCATCAAGAAGAACCTGGACGTGGGCGGAGGTACATGGGTGGAAGAGTTGGACACCGTCCTATGGGCATACCGCACCACCCCAAGAAGAGCCACCAGGAAGACACCGTTTGCGTTGGCATACAGGTTCGAAGCATGGGCCCCCACCGAAGCCGCGATACTATCCTATCGGGTCGTGGTGTACGACCCCGACCTCAATGAGGAACACCACGCTGCCGAACTCCATCTCATCGACGACAGAAGAGAGGACACCATGGTCCGTGCGGAAAATTACCAGCGCCAGACTAAAGCCTACCACGACAACAGATTCTGACCTCGCTATTTTCAGGTCGTCGATTACGTCTTCCGGAGGAGGGAGGCATGCCGACCCCAGGACGGAGGCAAGTTGGACAAGAAGTGGGAAGGACCATATGTGGTCGAAGCCATAGTACGCCCGGGCAGCTACAAGTTGAGGACCCCATTAGGCAAGACGGTGGACAGGGTGTAGAGCTCGGAGCACTTGCTGAAATTTTACCAGTTGAAGCACATTTGTACGGCCTACCCCCTCCCCAATAACAGGCCGGCTCTCGAGAATAATGTTTTGTTTTCGTTTGTAATGGAATAATAAATTTCGTTGAGCAGTTATCCTACCCCGAGTTATGGAAGAGCACGGGCTCATGCGAGATCAGGTACTCGGACACCGCGAGGTCGGCTTCCTCAGGGCCGGCCAACGCGGGGTTGGCCGACGCGAGGCCGGCCGGCGCGAGGTCAGCCGACCAGAGGACGGCTAGACCAGGTCGGCCAGATGTGGCGGTTACGTACACGGTGATCGCGATGGCCAACTTGGACGTAGCACATGCCCTATGGGCGGTACGAGGTCCGGCCACGCCTATCGCCGAACGGAAGGGTTCGGGGCACGAGTCAAAGGATTCTAACCCCGGAATCGCTAAAACGTCCTAAGGGCGGTACTAGGTCCGGCCTCGCCTACCGCCAAACAGGCGTAACGCAGCCTTAACGCCCTAGGGGCGATACGAGGTCCGGCCTCGCCTATCGCCGAACGGAAGGGTTCGGGGCACGAGTCAAAGGACTCCACCCCAGAATCGCTAAGACGTCCTAAGGGCGGTACAAGGTCCGGCCTCGCCTACCACCGAACGAGCGTAACGCAACCTTAACACCCTAGGTGCGCCGCAGGTTCCCCGAACTCGCATGTCGCCGAACGGGCCACGCAAAAAAAAACAAAAAAAAAAAAAGAGGTGGACAAGCGCTCGGAACAAGTTGCCGAGCTCACAAGCTCGGCGAGGCCGACCTCACGAGGACGGCTGGCCGACCTCATCGAACTCGGCTGGCCCAAGGCCGCGGCGCAACGCGGGGGTCAGCCGGCTAGGCTCGTGTTGGCGAGCGAGCCGCTGGGTCGGCCAGACGCCGCAGGGACCTGTTCGGGCGGGTGACAAGTCGCGCCGAGGAGTAATCAAGACAATACACGCAAGCAATAAGTAAAGGGGACATGGGTGTAAGACGAAATAAGCAAACGATGTCATAGCAAAATAGTCTAATGCGAAAAAGAGGAGGGAACAACTTGGCGGCAACCCGCACAACGAAATAACACCAATCTAAGCAAACAAAGGAAATAGTTTGTGCAAACAGCTAAACAAGACTAAGGGTCCGCCAACTCTAACAAGGACTAAAAGAAATCAAGGCTACGTGGCCTTGCGGGTGCCCACATCACTGCCCCCAACGCCAGCCGGGTCAACCTGGGTCTCCTCTAGAGGGGCGTCCACACCTGCAAAGCGAAGAAAGCCGGTCGCGAAGTCCATGCTCGACGAACGGTCGGTCGCCGAGTCCCGCGGGGAAGTCGAACCGTCCTCCCCCTCGACCACGTCCATGGGATCAGCTGGCTCCTCCAACACCTCGGGTAAACCCCACGCCTCGGGGTCGAAGGACGCGTATCTCGCGCGGAGGGTGGAGTTGATCTTACTCTGCATCGAGTACTCCCCCGCCTCATACATCGCTAGTCCCTGCACCGCTACGCACTCCCGCCCCTCGGGAAGGCTCATCAGATCATCCAGGGTCTCCTGCACGTGCCCGACAAAGTATGCCTTCGCATCATCAACACGCCCACCCTCGCAGCCTCCTGGTGCGCCTTCAAGGCCTCCTGATGCGCCGCGCATTCCCGCGACCAGCTAACAATCAACTCAGCATGCTGACCCTCCAGCACCGCAAGCTTGTCACTCACGACCTTGTGAGCCCGCGTCTCGGCCTCCAACTGACCGCAGGTACTCCCCAAGACACTCTCCATGGTCATAGCACGAGCAACCGTCTACAAAAAGGCAAATGTAAGCAAAGACGAGACGGCGAAGAACAAGGGAACACAACATGCAATTATAAAAGAATAGTGAATACATACCTCTAGCAAAGGTCGGAAAATGGCATGATCCTCTTGCATCGCCTCGTCACGGGGTAGGCGGAGGCTGCGCAGAAAGGTCTCCGGGGGGGACATCACCACAAAGTATCGAGGCCGTGCGGGGAAGATGGACAGACCACTCAGTCAAAGCGCCCGGAAGGGGCGCCGTAGGCACCGGAGCTCGGATAGGGGGGTCAGTTGGGCCACCCTCGGACAGGTTGTCCGCGTCAGGAACGGACCTCGTCTCCTGGCGGCGCGAAACCCGGGAACCTGATGGAGCCCGGGTACCCGATGGAGCTCGGCTAGTCTCGCCGGTCTTGCGGTGCTTGGGGTCTTCGCCGCCACAGCTCCTCAAACTCTCAACGGGGTTCACGATAGCAGAACGAGCAGAAGCCATACCTGCAATAAGAAAGTCGGTAATCCCTTCGTAGAGAAGTACATAAACAGAGATGCATGTCGGAGGGGTAACACATCAGAACTGGCGGAAGGAGGTGTCAAAGGCCCAGTCGGCAGCTCAACGACATCATCATCCGAATCCTCAATCGAAGAGTCCTCCTCGGCCTTTCCCGTGGAGCGTGGAGGGGAGGAGGGACCACAGGGAGGCGGGGAAGGCGGGTCACGTGCGAAACCCGCCCCAATCAAAGCCTCGTGCCCAACGAGGGCCTGGGAGTCTAACTAGGCACCCGTCTCGCCCAAAAAGAGCCAGGCCTAAGCAGTAAGCTCCTCTGTAGACTCCGGCCGGGGGCACTTGCGGAAGTACCCCCCCCCCAAGGGACCTCGAAATGGAGTGCCGCACCAGTGGAGACGAACACGAACCAAGGTTTCCAATCCTTATTG